AGAGAGAGAGAGAGAGAGAAAAAGGGAAAGTGAGAGAGAGAGAGAGAGCTTGTGAGAGAGAGGGAGAGAGAGAGTGAGTGTGTGTTGATGAGTGTGTGTGCGAGTATGTATTTACCATGGCCCAGAAAATATCTTTGTGTGGAGATCAATCTTATCTTATCTGATCTTATCTTACCTTATTCATGTTGCAGGCGATTCTCAATGAAATTGTCTGGGATGCAGTGATAGTGGATGAAGTGCACAAAATTAAGGTGAGCGACTCATGGCGTCACTTTTCGCCCGATTCTGTTACCTTTAGTTAGCGTGACTCAGCAGCTCGCCGGAGCTTACCGGCTCGGGGTCATGGGGTTAGTTAGCCCTGAAGCGACTTTGCCGGTGTCAGTTAAGAAGTACGCATTTTTGTCTACGTTTGAAACGATATACTTCTTCCCCATTTCACACAGCCAACCATTACGTTTGAATGGTTAATTTCTGTACCTTAGTTTTTGTTCTAGACAAGTGTTTGTAGAGTACCCAATTTATCCTATTTTAGTTACATATTTATGAATAAATGATTGTTTATTTAAAAACGGTACGTCTCTCCAAAAATATGTGCTAAACTGACTACGAATATCATGTTGTTTACCACGAGAAATCTTAAATCTGCACAAGTAGTAATAGTCAAGTTATAAGAGAAGAAAGATGCAAATCTGCATTTTTTAACTAAAGACAGTCAGTGTTAGCTCTTGTTCTACCATTAAACAAGAGAAAGTTACTCTGCGTTTGTCCATGAATCATGCTGTGTCTGTGGCCGCCTGCATACAACTAAGAAAGATATATTATGCGATTTTTAAAAAACACAAAACTGTGTTAATACATGGGTAGAGATGCACTTTTTGTGTTGAATAAAAATAATGACAGTTAACACATTCATTCTTAGTATTTTTGTCGGACAGCTGCGCGGACACTTATGAATGTAAAGAAATCAGGACATTGTCAGTTATTGCAAATGGTCATAGCAACTGTCTTTTGTGTGGTTTCACGACAGGGACTGAGAGCACAGGTGACTCAAACTCTACGCATCATCAACACGCCGCGGCGATATGGTCTCACCGGAACGGCCCTGCAGAATAACATGACGGAGCTGTGGAGCATTCTTGATTGGTATGAGAGGAGGTTTTTCTTTGCTGCTAGCTTTATGGTCAGCCAGCTCTTTAAAAGTACTAAGCCCAAAATTTTGATATTTTTCTTACTGCAGCCCCTTAATCTTTGGTTGCATGTGAGCAAGAAATATTTTGTTGAAACTCAAATTATGAATGTTGAAAAAAGCAAGAAAGAAAAAGATTATTTCGGTACACTTGTTAAAAGAATGGAACAGTGTATATGCGTATGAACAAAATTTGGGGTCTGAAAATCTTTTTGCTGTGTGTGTGTTTCTCTATGAACATGTTTAGCTTTGTGCATGTTTGCTATACACATATTTTACTATGTGTGCATGTTTTGTTATACACATATTTTACTATGTGTGCATGTTTGTTATACACATATTTTACTATGGGTGCATGTTTGTTATATATGCACTCTGCTATGTACGTTCTAGACTGTATTTTTTGTGTTTGTTTTCCCCGTGCAGGGCACAGCCGGGCGTGCTGGGGAATCTGGAGCAGTTTGAGAATGAGTACGTGCAGGTCATCGAGACTGGCCAAAGGCATGACGCATCCAAACGAGAACTGGCGCTGGCCAGAAAACGTAAGTCGCAGGCTTTGCCAACAGTTTACTGAACCGAGTTTCCCGGGACTGTCCCGGATTTAGCATTTAGTAATTTGAGGGGTATATCAGGTACACTTCGTCAAAACCTACCCCGCTGGATGTCGTTTTGTTTGCGGTTAGGTAATCTGAGATTATAACACTGGGTGTCTCTGAGTGGGTTTTGATAAAGTTGACAAGTCTGCAGTTGTATCCTTGTGAGGTTGATTTTTATGTGATCTTGAATTTTTGATATTCTTTTATGTGATTTTGACTTTTTAATATTCTTTTACATGATTTTGACTCGGTTACGACTTTGTGTTAGACCTCTGCCCATAGCATCAGCCAGGCTGTTGCATAAAAAAAAGATATCATTTAAGGAATCATTTTCGTGTTTACGAATTTCTGATGGTCAAATTTCATTGACCGCTGAATGCTTCTGCATCCTCGCCTTTTTGAGAATGCTTGTCGTGATATTGTTAGATATCTTCTTTTTTCTTCCAAATATTGTAGAGAAAGACAAGTTTTCGCGGGTGAGGAGGAAGATGATGATACGAAGGACGAAGGCTCTGATTGCCCAGCAGTTGCCCAGTAAAGGTACAGACGGTCAATACTTTTCTTTTTGTTTTTGGTTTCCCTGCTTTCATTTTGACACAAGCATCTGTGGTGTAGCGGTTAGACGCTTTGATGTTCCCAAGTGGCAGAATTTTTATTGAGTAGCTCGGTCTTTTTGCTGGGATGTTTTGTATCCCCCTCTGCTCACTTACTTGTCTTACTTGTCCACTGGGTTGGGGTCACTGCAGTCGGAAAATGTCCATCTCTGCTCTCCCTCCCTCTTCAGGATCCATCCCAGAGTCTGTCTGCTTATAGTCTCCATCATAATCTGGTTGGAGATCCGTCAGACTGGTCCGCACAGATGGCTGTGTTTTCCCCTCTGCCTAGGTTGGCCTTAACAGGCAGGGTAGAAAGGGTAGAAAGCTGCCTCCTAAATGATCTAAGTCGTGTTATGTTAATGAGGGGAATGTGTCTGTTTGGGCGGCTGGAGGGTGCTTTTGGTAGATCTAGCTCCTTTTCCTTCTCTCTGTTGTTTGTGTCAGTCATTGTGAGTGGGTGGAGGGTGCTACTGGTAGGTCTTAATTAACCGGTCAACCAACCAACCAACCAACCAACCAACTAATCAATCAATCATTCAATCTATCAATCCCATTCAGAGGACCTGGTGGTGATGTGCCGACTGTCGCAGCTACAGGAGAGCGTGTACAAGGCCATCCTGACACACCCTGATATGGAGCTGGTGCTACGTGCAGAGGACCCGTGCGACTGTCGCAAGGGGAAACTACGTGCTTCTTGCTGCTACAAGGTGTGTTGTGTAGTGGAGAGAGGGAGTGGGGGAGGGAGAGAGAGAGAGAGAGAGAGAGAGAGAGAGAGAGAGAGAGAGAGAGAGAGAGAGAGAGAGAAAGAGGGAGAGAGAGAGAGGGAGAGAGAGAGAGAGAGAGAGAGAGAGAGAGAGAGAGAGAGAGAGAGAGAGAGAGGTGGGGGGCAGCGGGCAGCAAGAACGGGGCGGGGAGAACGGAAAAAATCTACGTCCAATAAAACAAATCGGTGAACAAACCCAGAAAGGTCTCCAGGCGAAACTGCAGCCAACACAACAATACTAAGTTACCTGGTTACTACCTTACCGAAATGCCGCAACAAACGAAGTGACAAAAGAAAAGAGAGATTAAAAAACAACAACGAAAGAACAAAATATCATCGATACTCACTCAAATCAATCAATCAAACACCGATGAGCGCAGCACGATCAGAGAGAAGTTCTTCAACCAATCGGCCCCACGAAGCTCGGGCCAAGAGTAGATAGATAGATCTAGGCTAGACCTGACACTAGTTAGCAGCAAGCAAGCAAGCAAGCAAGCAAGCAGTCCTCTGAATTAGTGAGCGTGATGCTGTCAGTTGGGATATCTACACTACAACTGGACGTCCTAACTGCGTATTGCTGTTCGTCATCGAGGTGCTGAGTGCTCGGCGGTCGGTCGGTCGGTCGGGTGGAAAGAAAGTGGGAGAAGAGCAGCTGGGCAAAACACCGAGCCCCTGAATCCGGTTAACCGGTTAATGAAGTCTTGTTAGAACGTAGGGTGTTGGGATGGTGGTTCGAGGGCAGTTAGTTCGTGATCGAGATATTAAGATAAAAGTATATTGTGTAGT